ATAGGCATCTTTCCATCATTAGAATAACAAATGGGCTTTTTGGTTTTAGGCAGTATTAACAGACTATAATTTAAGTAATTGGTGACTAAATGTCCTTTTTCTCTATGACTGAGCAGTGCCACGGTTAGCCAGCCAGGTGGAAAGCTCTTAAGGACTTGGACACAGACTGTTGTGAGGAATTAACTGTTTAATAACAAAAAACTTTGAACAGGATCTATCATTAGAGACTAATAGGAAAAGTGAGAGTTAAACTACTAGACATGTGCTTAATAACACACGTACAAAGCAATTCAGAATCTACAAAAGTAATGTCTACTTCACATTTATTCAAACAAACCTCTACTGAAAGCCGACCACGTGACAGGCTACCTCAGGCTCTGGGGAACTGAAAGGAGAATGGGAAACAACGAGTCACATTGGCTTTCTAAGGCAGATCCAAACAGAATCAATCTAAAAACTCCTCTACCTGCCTCCATGGGAAACCACAGATAAGGTGTATAAAAAGTATTTTATCTCACTACCTGAAGCCATGCAAATAGTCTACTTTGGCCTAAACACCAGAAAACTTTAATTATCCTAGAAACTCCTTCAAAGAGACATTGTTTCATTTCTGTCCCTCCCTGAATCCTTACGTTCCCAAGTTGGTGGCTGGGAACACGGCAATGTGCTCCAAGCAACAGGAGCAGACTTACCCTGAGCTGTGTTAGAGGGAAGCTCTCACGGATGAGGCCAGGGCTGGAATAGGTACTCTGTGTCCCTATCCATCAGTAGCTGCTGACACATACAGTGCTTCACAGGAACATGTCATTTGCTCACAAAACTTTAGGGGGAAAGGGAAAAATAGAAAACCTTTTGCCAAATGTGCAAAAATGCACATTTAAAAAGTTGTGGAACAAAAATGAGCTGCTATATACTTTAAAAACCAGATAAAAAGTAGAAAATAAATACCACCCTACGCTCAGCTACTACCTCCTGAATTGAACTGAAGCAGAAATGTTGCCATTTCAGCTAAGTGGCTTTACATGAGGTAACTTAAAACACTCTACCGATCATGTAAGCTAAAAGTAAGATAGTGGCATCAAAATTTACCCTTTTCCAATCAGAACCCACTTTTCTAATGTGCTTTTAGAAGGAAAAATGTAATCTTCACTAGATCCAAAGGGCTTTTGTTTACCTAGAAATTCACCAGTCCAGGAATCAGAAGATTTTTAAATCTAATTTGACAACAGGTTTGGTTGTTGGATGCTAATGTGAATTTTAAAACTAATCCGTTAGTGCTCTGTTCTTGTTTTAAATCAAAGGCATTTCTTCTGGGCTGCAAATTAATGAGAACAGCTAGCCTATCGCATGGACCAAGAAGAGGTTTCTAATCTTTAGAAGCAGGAGGTCCGCCTACATACATGATCACCTGGGACAAACTTGGCTAGCGCAAGCTGGTGAGAAGGTTATAGGAGCCTGGGAATGTTTAACATCAAGAGAGGAATTACAGCTCAGTAAGATCAGAGGGAATTACACAGGAAATGTGAACAGTAACCCTTTCATATCTCCGTGCCCGCTCCCACTGCCTGTGTGATAAATGAGGTCCTGCAGCCACCCAGCTATGTGCATACACAAGCCAACTGCAGAGGCAGCCTGGGAAAAAGCCATTTTATACACACACACAGACACACACACACACAGACACACACACACACAGACACACACACAGAGCACGGCATAAATTTATGATGACATGATAAAATCATGTCCCTCCAGAAAAAAAGCCTTTAGCCTTTCTAACTGCCACATATGCACTCCATCACTGCCTTATCCAACAAGGGCCCTAAGTAAAAGTCCCAAAGAAACTTGAAGAATCAGGCGGGGGTGGGGAGGATGGAAGATTTGGCAGACTCTTCACAAGTAGGGAAACGTGGCTCCTCTGAAGCTGACCAAACAAACAGGTCTCCACCCTGGCTTATGTTTAAACATCTTGTTCCTAGTCAGTCTGTAGGGAAAACATTCTTTCCACAATAAATAATATGCAATCAAATCGGAAAATTCTTACCCCATCCTTTATCTACTCTCTGTAGAAGTTTCTTCTGTACTATAAGCCAGAAGCTTAGAGAATTCAACTGACTGCAAACTCTTTTTTTAAAGAGTTGCTTAGGTATAGTCAAGGCATGTTAAAATATTTCTAGTTGCTAATTATGGAAAAGCAAGTGTGACGTGCAGATTCTGGACTCCTTCAGAGACTCCCCTAGTTAGGATCTCAAGAAGTGAAGCTACTCTAGCCACAACTGCCTTTGAGAAAGCAGGAAATGTTCAGCTTCTATAAATAGGTGAGTCTGAAAGAGATTCATTAAAAAATAAAACAACAACAACCAACCAAAAAACCCCATGCTGTTCAAGACAGTAAGATTACATAGGGGAAATAAAATAAAATAAAGGGGAAAAGTGCTATCTTCAGTAGGCTAAGTCTAAAGTATGGAATGGAATTTTACAGGTTACTCTGAAGTAAGATTTCACTGGCATAACCAGGTTAGGGACGGTCTGTCACAAAGAGTAGGTCAAGAAATCAGTGAAAGTGAATACAGAGATGACAAAGCAAATCACCAATGAAAATTAAAAGGCTTGGGTTTTTGGAACTATCCAGAAGACGGAACAGTAAAACTGAGAATTTTTTTTTTCAGCAATGTGCCTCCTTCAAAGCACACATATTTTCCTCAAGCAGCAAACTATACCAGTAGTGATCCAGTATGGTGACTGGTGGGCTTTCCTGATGGCTCAGTGGTGAAGGATCTGCCTGCCAATGCAGGAGATGCGGGTTCCATTCCTGGATCAGGAAGATCCCCTGCAGAAGTAAATGTCAACCTGCTCCAATCTTCTCACCTAAAAAAATCCCATGGACTGGCAGGCTACAGTCAAAACGGTCACTCGAAAGGGTCACAAAGAGTCAGACACACATACTGAATGCCAGGTCTCACACACACACGCAGGACACACACACACATAGTGAACGGCAGGACACCCAAAGAGCAACTGAGATTTTCACAGCTTCTAAGCAAGGATCAGTTGCCACCACAGCCAAGACCAAATGGAAAATCAATGGCACTCTCTCCTCATCCAGAATTGAGAGCTGACTTGGAAGGTCTCTTCATCATTTTAACTCCATGTCTCCTTCTGACAAACATAAAAACCTCATGCCCTCTTTGAATGTTGAGATTTGAGGATAATTTAAGTGTTGCAACCAAAAAGACGACAGAGCAAGGTAATTTCTGATCATTTTTTCAAACCATGTTCTACTGCAACAGAATTTATTAACAAATACTTTTCTATATAGACATATTAATTAACACCTGTTTACTTTTCAAGACAAAAAAAAAGGCCAAAATGTTTGCAAACACTATATATTAATGACAATGAAAAGATATTTACTGGGACACTGGGTATCTCTCTTCTCTTTGAGTTACTGCAGATGATCTTTTCAGCTCTTAACACTAGGTCTGAAGAAATGCTGGCTGTACTTCAATATTTGTTTAGGCCTTCCCTGGTAGCTCAGATGGTAAAGAATCTGCCTGCAATGTAGGAGATTTGGGTTTGATCCCTGGGTCAGGAAGATCCCCTGGGGAAGGGAATGGCTACCCACTCCAGTATTCTGGCCTGGAGAATCCCATGGGCAGAGAAGCCTGGTGGGCTACAGTCCATGGGGTGGCAAAGAGTCAGACATGACTGAACAATTAACACTTTCACATTCAGCAATAGGGCCCCAGCTTCCACCGTGAAGATCACAGAGCTCCGATACAGTGCTCTCTTCCATGGAATAAAGGACAGAGGAAAGCAGGTTACATTCTCAGGACAGAGGAAACAGTGAAAGAGGCAAACTGCAGACGACCTCGACAACAGTTCAGATGACAAAATGATAGAAGTATCACCCGATATTCACACATTCACACAACGCTTCACAATGTATAAGACATTTCATGTAATTTTACCCCACAACGTTACTAAGTGGACATTAAGGAGAAGAGTGCAGCAAAGGATGAGATGTTTGGATAGCATTACCGATTCAATGGACATGAACTTGGGCAAACTCCGGGAGATAGTGAGGGACACAGAGGCCTGGCATGCTGCAGCCTGTGGGGTCACAAAGAGTCAACACGACTTAGCAACTGAACAACACAAGTGAATATTATTACCATTTGATTGAAATATCACAAAGAGGCCTTTTCAAGGTTCCCCAGCTAGTTGAGCAGCAGAGCTGAGATCAACCTTCTGACAGCTGTCCCAGATAGTAAAGATCTTTACTTTGTCAAGAAATTTTGAAAATATCTTTATCCAAACTTTAAAGTCAGAGTACACATAATAGGCAGAATTTTTTTTTTCCTCAACCCACCCAACAACCACTCCCTGTCTACAAACTGCCATAAAAATGATTATAGAGTTTCTGCAACTGTAACCTTTTACCAGGATGGCCAAGAGCACAATGAAAAGCATCTTTCAAAATTTAACCTCTGTGTATACCCTATGACTGATTCACATTGATGTATAGCATAAACCAAAAAGCAACTATCCTTCAGGCAAAAATAAATTAATTAAAAAAAAAAATCCTGCTCACACCTAGAACTTGTATCCTATAACTGACCCCCAAATAAGGACATCATCACAGGCATGGGCTCTGAAAATCATTAACTACTGAGGAAATGTCTGGGGTGTCTGTTCTTCATTTAGGATGAGTCAAACATGACACATGTACTACTGGCTCATGCCTGAAAGGTGAGCACACCCCCAGCCTCTGGCTTAGCAGAGACACCTACCTCTGGGGCTGGCTGGAGAGACCAATGGCACAGAAGAAAGAATCTCACAGAAATGAAAGTTATATTCTTAACAATTAAAAGCAATCGTTCTGTTTTATTTTTGAAGTTGTACTAAAGAATGATGACTAAATTACATTAGTAATTTAATGTAAATGTGAGACAGAATAAAGTTGGAATTTTACTCATATAAAACCAGTTTTTACTCACCTCTGAAGTTTATTATGAAGACTGGGAGACAAAACACATGAAAGATGCTAAATATCTTGCCTAGCATATAGTAACTACTCAGTAAATGTCAGCTGTGATCAGCAACATTACTGCTGTTAAAAACAAAAGATAGAATGGAAGGTCACACTTAAGTGAACCAGCAAAACATAATACATTTGTGGGTTATTTTTTAACATCTACACAAAACACAAGTATCTTTTCTAGACATACAAATACATGTATATAAGTATTCAGAACAAGATTTGGAAGAATAAATGGCAAGAGATGACCCTGGGACTGAGATGGTCAAAGGTAACTTAAATCTGATGTGAAAGGCTTTAAAAAAAAATTATGTATTCCTTGTATCAATAAAATTAATTTTTAAGAAAGCAAAATAGAATAATAAAATTATACAAAGTATTATTGTACTCTCTTCAATGCATAGCTGATTTCAGTATTACATGAAAAAGTTTATTTTATTTGTAGATAGGGTCCAAGTGAGGTTCTAAAGCTCCTTTCTTTACTAACACCATTCAAGCTTTATATCACAGACTGCTTTCAACAATCTTCCTCATGATAGTCATGTTCACTACACTGAAAATAACTCTGTGCAAAAAAAAAAAAACCTTCCTTACAATTTTCTTAACTTTTAAAACCATTCAATGTATTTAATTAAGATCCAAGGAGGCTTTCAATATCCAAGAAGTCATACATCAAAACAGCTTTACATGAAACGATTACCTTTTTTGCCTCACATTTGTGTGTGTTTATATCTCATAAACCACATATAGAAAGTTAAGTTGCGGATTCATTTTAAGGCCAGAGTTGCCTACTTAAAACCATCATAACAATTTCCAATGTCTTGAGGGTTGCTCTAATTAAAAACCTCTCCTCCTAGGCTCTTCCCAACTTCTAATTCTTTGTCTGTACCATTTTGATGCTGGTTTGAAAATTCTAACTTTCCTTCTCATTCACAATCATAACTTTGACTTTTTCATCCCATTCTTCTTCCTCTAGATCACCTAAATGGGAGCCTATAAATTGCATGCAAACCAGGTCACAAAAGCTCTTATTAACTTCCTCAGAGGAGCAAATAGCAGGCCTCCTGTGGTTCAGGCATGGAAGGACCACAGGCCCAACCAGCTGGGACCCTGCAATTTACAAATCCAGCTTATAAATTAAAGACCTCTAGTGCTGTAAAAAGGGACAGACATTTCAACAGATGAGAAGACAGAGAAAGCAGCCTCTTATTTGACCAGGAGGACATTAGCCTGAACAGAAATCCCCACCTCAAAGAGCTGTGGATTCAGTGTTTGTGGGAGGCAATGTGATCTCTTTTAGATATATTTATAATTCAAGTAAGCCTTTCTCTGTAAATAAATGGGGGATAGTATTTGATCAAAAGGGATCTTTCTATAATTTCAAATAAAAAATTATAGGTATAATTTGTATACTTTGTATGTACATACTGTGAAAATCCTTAAAGAGATGGGACTATCAAACCACCTTACCTGCCTCCTGAGAAACCAGTAGGCAGGTCAAGAAGCAACAGTTAAAATCAGACATGGAACAACAGACTGGTTCAAAACTGAGAAAAGAGTGTGTCAAGGCTGTATGCTGTCACCCTGCTTATTTAACTTACATGCAGGGTAACATCATGCGAAATGCCAGGCTGGATGAAGCTTAAGCTGGAAATAAGATTGCTGTGTGAAATATCAATAACCTCAGATATGCAGATGACACCACCCTGATGGCAAAAAGTCAAGAGGAACTAAAAACCCTCGTAAAGAGGGTGAAAGAGGAGAGTGAAAAAGCTGGCTTAAAACTCAACACTCAAGAAATGAAGATCATGGCATCCATCCCATCACTTCATGGCAAATAGGAAACAGTGGAAACAGAGACATTTTATTTTCTTAGGCTCCAAAATCACTGCAGATGGTAAAGATGCTTGCTCCTTGGAAGAAAAACTATGACAATCCTAGACGGTGTATTAAAACACAGAGATATCACTTTGCCAACCAAGGTCCGTTTAGTCAAATCTATGGTTTTTCCAGTAGTCATGTATGGAGAGCTGGACCATAAAGAAGGCTGAGTGTCAAAGAATTGATGCTTTCAAATTATGGTGCTGGAGAAGATTCTTGAGAGTCCCATGGGCTGCAAGGAGATCAAGTCAATCAATCCTAAAGGAAATCAACCCTGAATATTCATTAGAAGGACTGATGCTGAAGCTGAAGCTCCAATACTTTGGCCACCGGATTCGAAGAGCCGACCAACTGGAAAAGACCCTGATGTTGGGAAAGACTGAAAGCAGGAGAAGGGGAGACAGAGAATGAGATGGTTGGATGGCATCACCGACTCAATGGACATGAGTTTGAGCAAACTCTGAGATAGTGAAGGACAGGGAAGCTTGGTGTGCTGCAGTCCATGGGGGTCTCAAACAGCTGGACATGACTTGGCAATAGAACAGGTTGTTATACATAAAGCACTAGACTGTGCCCAATACAAAGCAAAGCACTGTACAATTCTGGGCTATTAGTACTTTTAACATCAGGAATGTGTACCTCTGCGGCCAGAAAGTTAATGAGCACAGCTTACAGCAACCACTGAAGGAACAGGTGCCGTGAGACTGCTCAGTTCTTTTCTTAGAGCAGGTTCAAATCTGCATCATTCTGTCCTGTGCATTCTAACTACTGACATCTTCCTACATGTCTCTGCATACCTGGTGCTCTGCATACCTGGTGATGCATCTCACTGTGAATTCTAAATGTCTTGAGAACAGAGACTCTATCTACTTCACCTGTAGTCTTGACATCTAATATAGCATCTCCAAAGTAGCTGCTCTATAAAAACCCAGTGGAAACACAGTATTAGCCATCTATCCATCAGCCTCATTCAAGTTCACTTCCTGAGAACAGAGGCTACTGAATGTTGGCCTCTGCACCCCAGAGGCCTAACACACAGTGGCACTTAATAAAAGCCTACCACCTACATTTTTTATCCAAGTTTCAAATTTATTCTGCATTTTATTTTGACTTATTCACAGCATCTATTTACTGAAACAAAATGCATTTCTGAAATGAAATGATTCTCTTCTTTTTTCTCCCCCAGAAGCTCTTGATAGAGTGGGAAATAAAACTTCAATAACTTTTTAGTTCTCAGAGTGATGACTACAGCAAAGAGAAGCAATGATCTTTTCTCCACACTGTTCTGGATGGCGCCTTTGTGGGAATCATCCTCCAGAACGGAGCCAAAACAAAGCCCTTCTTCAGAAACAGTCACCCTTTGACAGTTGCACAGATTTCATTCAGTCACTGCTGTGTCCTTGCTCTTTCACAATTGTGACATGTTCATTATCTGAAAACTCTCTCTGCCCACCCTACTTGTGATCATGCCCAGCTCAGTTTTTGACAAAAAGCCAGCTTGGGCGGCCTCCTGCTGCTGATCTTGTAAAACAAGATTTCAGTGTGAACAGCTTTTGGACCATTCAGGAGCTCATCAATGAAGGATCTTCACTGTGACCTTCAGGTCTGATGCCTGCTTGTGAGACAGCTGGGACCTGGGACCCTTTGCTGCAGGGCTCACACCTGGACAAAAGTCTCCTCAAGCCACAAAATACAAAGAAACTACAAGGGATTAAAAATAACTGTGTGCATGCATAGCTAGGGCAAATTATGGACAAGAAGATACACAAAGACCAAAAAGAACCCAACTGTCACTTTTGAGGAGCCAGGAGCAACAGCAGGGTATTGGGACCAAAAGCAGGGTACTGCACACATCTCCCTGCATGCAACATCACCAAAGGGGTGGACAAAACACCTAAGCCACCCCTCTGGCCCAACTCCTGGACCTGCTGCCCCTACCCTCACCCCATATAAGGGACTAGTTCAACCCACCTCAGGAAGCAAGCAAGGGCACATGTTATTTTCTCTGCCCTCAGTTGTAGCAGGGGCCCCAATAAAGCCTTGCCTGAATTTCTCATCTAATCTCTTATCAACTTCTGTTGATTCAGAAAGGCCAAAAACCATGGTCAGTAACAGCTGAAGGTCACATGGCGGATCTATCTCCCAAGACCCTCAGTCTCAAGACACACACACACACCCCAGGGACAAAGGCAAGAACCTTCTGGGAGTTTAAATAAATATCTTAGTTTTCTTAGGGAAAGATGGTAATTTCACATTCCTCTGAGTCATTCTATCACCAGATTACTTCCAGGTGTTGTAAGTGGGACAGTCCACCACCACGTGTGTCACTTGCTAATATTAGGTTAGGTCATAAGTATACGAGTCACACATGATCCTTCTAGTTCTCCTTACTCAAGGTAGTAAGAGAAGTGATTTATTCCCCTTGACTGTACAAGATGAAACAAAGCTGACTTCCTTGCTTAAATGAAATTAAAAATAAAAATGCTGTCAAGTGGAAATTCCCTGGTTATCCCTGGTGCCCTGGTCAGGCGTGGAGTTTCAAAGTTAGAAAGCATCTTGGAGAGTCATCTTTCTCATTTAACAGACCGAGCTGAGGCCCAGAAGAGCTGAGAGGTTTGCCATGGTCACAAAGGAAAACAGAACCAAAGCTAGAATAACAGTCTTCCTGCCACCTCAGCCCATTTGCTTTCCACATACAGACATGAGTAACTTCACCCTGACCCACAGCCCTGGCGAGGCTGTTCTCAGCTTCCCCTCACTCCCTGCATCTTGGTAGTCCAGCTACATGATTATCAGTTAAAAAAATAGAGAAAGACAATTCTTCCCTCACAAAGTAACTTAGCAACATCATTATTTTCTTAAAGATATTATCCCTTGCAACTGCTACAGGCTTGTTCCCTCCACACTATTTCCAAGACAAGGCTGCGTGTCCTCCAAGAGACACTTCCCTAAATAGTCCTCAAGTATATTCTGAAAAACATGGGAAAGCCCCATATACAAGCACACTTATTATAGTGGCAGATTGGAGATGACATCCACTTGAGAAGGTCAAAGAGCTAGGAGCATCCAAGGTAGGGGAAAAGCCTATCAGTGTCGAGCAGGACAGACTCTGACACTGAGCAAATATTAGTGAGTGTGTAAATGC